GAGAGAGGCGAGCCCGGGTCATGCGTGAGTCTGGGACCCGCTCAGTGGAGTGGAGGCCGCGGGCACTCCCGGACCTGCGATGCTTTCTGGCTGCCACGATTTGCATATTCATTACACTGGTGTCCTTACGAAGACATTCATTACCCTGGCGGCCTTTACAGTCCCGAGAAAAGTCCCCGCACTACCAGGCCGCCCTAGATTTTACTATCCCCATCTGAAGTCCCCCAAGTGTGGCGCTGGGGTGCATATTAAGGAATTAACAGGGCCAACGGAGCGGCGTTTACATAATCAATACATTTTAGAGGCTAAACTTAAGAGCTTTTGTTTCCAGATTAGCACACCAAGAAAGGAGAAAGTCTCAATCGGGAATTTAAAACGGGCATGAATGTTAACTGAGACCTCTCAGCAGGAGATCTGAAACTAGGGGTGTTCACTTCAGGGTGCTTTTTTGAGTGCCTAATAGGCCTGTCTCAGTTACTGGTCCATTGTGTGAACTCAGTAGATGTTCCTTGAGTGAAGGCATGAAATACGCACAGGACTACAGGCTTGGAGGTAGAAGAAAAATGAGATTGTTCTTGTCCTCCGGGAGTTTTCTGATACCCTTGTATTTGCCCACATACGTGATGGAAGAAAAACATGTTATGAGCCGTAAGAACTACAAAGTGCTGATTAGACAGAAGAGAGTGCCTAAGGCTGTGGAAGAGATGTTTAAGCGGCTATCAAAATATAAAGAATTAGAAATATTAAGGTGCAAGTGGACACTTTCCTAAAAAGTAGGAGTTACACGTTTGTAGAACTGGTAGGGAAAGCAATTTAGCAATATGTATCAACAGCCTTTTGTGTTCATAAATTGATGGCATGTGGTTTGTTTCCAGTTTTTGGCTATCATGAATAAGGCTATTATGAACATTCTTGTATAAGTCTTTGTGTGGACATATGTAATTTGTCTCTCGTTAAAGAAAAAATTATTCAATGACACTTGTTAATGCACAGTAAGGAAAACTTTATTCAAGGGTGGGGGATGATCTTGACAGGTATCCGGAGCACTGCTGTGGAATTTTGCAGTGGGGGAGAGAGAGATTGGGCTCAACTTCAAACATAGCAGAGACAGGTGGGAATTTATAGCCACAGAGCAGGGTGGGGGTCTGTGGGGAATTAACTAGGAGGAAACTTCAGGACTAAGATTCTGGCTGGATTCTGGCTAAACCAACCTCACAGGATTCTTACTGAAGGCAGATCAGGGTGATCAGATACAGAGGATGGGGGATCCTGGCTAATTGTTTGTGGGGAATTTTGCTAAAATTGGACCATACAGAGAGGAACAGGGAAGTCCAAAAGTCAGGCCTAGTTGGAAAGGAGTTCTGTAGAAACTGAGCAACGTTTGGTTAATGACAAAATTTTGTCATCCTCTTGGGAAAGGATCTGGGAGTCAAATTGCTGATTCATATGTTAAGTGTAGTTTAAGTTTTTTTTTTAATTTCATTTATTTAAGTAATCTCTACACCCAACGGGGCTCAAACTCCTGACTTCGAGATCAAGAGTTACAGGCTTTCCCAGCTGAGCCAGCCAGGTGTCCCAAGTGTAGGTTAACTTTACCAAAAATGCCAAATTGTTTTCCAAAGTGATCATACCGCTTTATACTCTCACCAGCAGTAGATGAATTTCAATTATTCCATCTCCTAGCCAAGTTATGGTATATTCTCTCCTAATGGGATGGTATCTCACTGTGATTTTAACGTACATTCCCTGATGAATACTGATGTTGAGTACTTTTTCGTGTTGTTTTAAAAACTGTTATTGTGAGTATGAAATACAGTCATAAATGTCAAGTGCTTAGCACAGTGCCTGGCATGCATTTGAAACCTAGTAAATGTCAGCACCAATTGTAGGTTGGATAAAACTTTTCCTTGGTTAAAACATGACACATGTTACTTGCTTTCCAACGCGTCTCCTTTTTTTTGGTCTCAGCACCCCAGTTTTCCATGGGGAGACACTTGTCCCTGCTCTCGGTCCATGTAGTTTGGGTTGGCCAACCTTTCTCCAGGCCACAGACATGGGCATACCACCCAATGAGAGTCAGTGAGCTTTGAGACTAGTGTTTTCTAGTTATTGGGAAGGAGAAAGTCTAATTTTATGCTGATACCTAGGTGTAGGATGTTTTGAACCCTGAGCTCTTGGTGTTTCCATGTGGCCAGAGAGTGAAGCCATTATGAAGAAAACAGACCTGAAAGATGAAGAGCAATGTCTTGGTTCTAGCTTAACCTGAAACTGACATTTTTATTTATATAAACCAACAAACTTTTTTGTTTAAACCAATAGGGTTTGTGTCTCTTATTCTGACTAATAACGGGAATCTAATGAAAGGAGAGACTAGATACAGAGATCTAATGGCCATATAAAAAAGAAGTATCAACATATCGAGCCTTCAGGCAAGGGCCAAACAACCTGCAAGGTTTAGGACTTTCTGGCAAAGTTGAATGGGAGAATATACTTAGACCTGGAGCCAACATGGGGCCCTCCGACTCTCACCCCACATCTAGACTTGGGGACCTTCCATGAGCAGATTTGGGTTCACAGAACAGACCCTCTGAGACACTACAGCTGTGAGAACTGTAGGTGGGCCTCACATACTCTGAGGTACCAGGAGAGAATAGAGGAATGATGGCCAGAGCTGTCTCTGGAAGAGGCCCTGGGCCTGCCCTATGTGTAGCTACCCGGTGGTGACAGAAAGATCCAGGGCTCATTGTCTTGGTGCAAGCAAGTCAAAGACAGAAGAAAGGAGCTGGAGCGTGTGAGTGTGACTTTTAACATAATGACCCCTTTTACAAGTAAACATTGACCAGGAGAGATCAGCTTCCACTAATCAGATTAGCTCTTCTCCCTAATGAAAGAGCAGTAAAGGGTGAGGAGAGGATTCTGGTTCTAGGTAAGATGGAGTAAGCACACTCCATCCTGTCTCTTCAACTCAATGCAGCTATAAAATCTGGACAGAAAGCATAGAGCATGTATTTGAGGACTCTGAAAACTGAATAGTAGCAAGCAGATCAGTGAAGACAAAAATTCAAAGTACCACCAAACTGATGTTCAGTTCACAGAATTTTTTCCCCTGTGGCATCCTTCTAGCCTTTACTGTCAACCCAGAATCCTATCTCCAGCAAACATTCCATCAGGAATGAAGTTGGAATAAAAATGTTCTCAGATGAAGGAAATCTAAGACGATTTTTTTTTTTTTTTTTTTTTTGCCGGCAGTCTTGTTCTAAAAGAATTGCTAAAGGAAATTCACTAGGTAGAAGGGAAATGATACCAAAGGAAGGTTGGAACATCAGGAATGAAGGAAGAGCAATAGAAATAGTAAATACTTAGGTAAATTTAATACACTTTTCCTCTTTAAAATATGCTTAATGGTTGAAAGCAAAAATTATAACAGTGTCTGGTGGAGTTTTCAGTGTTTGTGGAGATAATGTATAACATAAGTACAAAATAAAGGGGCAAGAATAAAGAGATTTATATGGTGGTAAGCTTTCTACATTGCACTTCAAGTGCTAAATACTGATTCCAAATGGACTTAGAAAAGTTAATATGGATATTGTAATGCCTAGAGCAACCCATAAACATACTATTCAAAGAAATAGAGTTAAAATACACAATAGATAAAATGTAATAATAAAAAATGTTCAAATAACTCAAAAAGAGACAGGAGAAGAGAAATAGAAAATTAAAAAAAAAGAGGGAACGAACTAAAAGCAAATAAGGAAATGATAGATCTAAATCTAAACATAGCAATAATTACATTAAATGTAAATGATATAAACCAGGGGTCAACATAGTTTTTAAAAAGGACAGATAGTAAATATTTTTGACTTTATGGGCCATATACAATCTCTGTGGCATGTTCTTCTTCTCTGAAAACAGGTGGTGGGCTGGACTTGGCCCAGGGGCCATTGTTAGCCAACCTCTGGTCTAAGCACACCAATGAAAAGACAGAGATTATTGGATAAATTAAAAAGTAAAAGAAAAAAGAAACAACGACCCAACTACACAGTTTACGAGAAACTCATTTCTGTTAGTAGGATATAAGTAGGTTGGAAAGGTAAGGAAAGAGGGGATGCTCCTCCTTAGTGCTTCCCTGGGAGGTAAAAATCCCAATGAACGTACCTTCTAATGTGTGCTGAGATGGGAACTTGACAGAAAGAGAGGGAGTTCTCCTTGCTATTTCCTTCCTCTTCCCTTTTAGGGAAGCCAGATTTCTGACAATTTCAGAGTTTAAGAACATAGCCCTGAAACCGAAAGTGAAGGATGGCTCTGAGTTATCATCAGTTACCCCGATCAACCCTGAGCAATTTATGCCACACAAGGGCCTTTGGACACTCATTCTGTGCCCATTTACTCTTAAATTACATATGATATTAAATACA